CTCTCATCTCTAATATACATCTAAGAGGACAGGGGAAATATCTTTTATCACTCAAATCTCCCAGAAATTTGAGACCAGCTGGGGATTTTTTATATAGATATGATTCATTAAATTCATATCATTCCAAAGAAATCTTCCTGCCGGTTTATCTTTGCCACTACAGTCATCTCTCCAGAAGAGCACAGTTTCCTGAATGTTGTCAACCTGGACAGCTCAGTTTTTGGCGCAAGCTTAGATTTCATTTGGAAAGAATGGAACTGGCTCTGTATTTTTCATTTTAAAGGAACTGGTGTGTTGAAACCATTCTCCGAGTTGAGTTTTCCCCTTTGCAGAAACAATAGGCAAATCCTGTACAAACACCCATTTGACTTCTGATAGACTTTTTTCATAATATGTTTCAATATTTATATACTACACTTTGGGGTTTAATGTCTTTGATCAAATATAGTTACAAGAGTTCTGAAGACTCCTCTCTGAAAGCTAGTTCAGAGAACAACTACATCCGGCTTCCACTGGGATCAAATACAGTAAGTTTGTATTTCAACAATCTTTAGAACACTGCTACAGTGGAATGATATATTAGCTGATAAATAGAGGGCTGTGACAGAGTTAGTATCCCATTATAATAACCATTCCATAAAATAAGCAACTTATGGGAATTTTTAGGTCATATTTATAATATAATGTGGTTCATTTTTTAGGAAAGTTCCTTTACAAACAGCATCACAAAAGGCATTGGGGGAGAGCCAGTCTTAAGCTAAAGAAAAACAAAGCAGAGCTTTGTAGGGAAATGTTTGGACTGGAAGTGACTCAGTCTCAATGCTGGGGTGTAGAGTGGGATGGGAAAGTTACAGGTATGGTACGATAGGCAGCACAGATGAAACAGTAACACCCTAACTGTGGAGAGTGAGCAGGTTTGGAAAGAGGTCAGAAGAAGGGCAAGGTGGAGTAAGTTCATGGCTAGTTTTGAAAGAAAGAATCATACATAACAGATGGGAGTCATGTCATTTAATACACAATGGGAAGGCACTCAAATACCATGGTGATGGGTGCGGTTTCAGAACCTGAATTGAAAAGAATTTTGAACTGTCTTTGTTTGTTTTGTGGATGGGGGCAGGGGGAAGGGAGTCTCCAATTCAGCATAGAGCAAACCACATCTAAAACCGCGTATATGACATTAGAAATAATTTGCCAAAGATTAAATAGATTTAGGCAACCTGCAACTTCTTGAATTTAACCCTAAGTGGAAGAGCAAACATTTTGTACCCCTTAGAATAGAAAGGAAGGTTATTTTGTCTGTTTTTTTGTTTTTTGTTTTTTAAGGATTAATGAGCAGATGTAGCACTGGCTTTTGAAAGATCCCTTACAAAATGGCTGAACTTTAGGAAATTGACCTCTCAACTTTTCTCTAAATGTTTGTACCTAGAGTTGCATGAAATTCAGCTGTTGGGGTTCACATGGTTGATGTGAAATTTTTATTTCCAGTTTTGCTTTGGATGAGTTCAACACCTTCCCCCCATCTTGCAGATCCTACTAATGCATAGAGAATTTATTCTATTTGTAAAGTACAGAAAATTACTGTCCTGAATATACTCTTCTTATTAATTAAAGATGGACCAGGAGATGGTGTTTATCTGCATTAGGTTTAGACTAAAGGTTTACATTCAAGTTCTAGGATTCACCATGTTTCCACAGTATCAAAAAAATATCTCCACCATCTTGAATTCAGGAAACCTTACAAAATCAATGATTCACATCAGATGTCCAGCAGCATTTCACATTTGAACTGGAACCTAAAAACAGGCCCCCATCTGATTTTGAGTCTGCCCCATACTAGAAGATTTGGGTCCAGTGGTTATAAATTGAAACTACCACCCACATCTAGGGGCTAGATTCAGAATAGAAGTTCCAGTTGGGGCTCACCCCACAGCCCTACACTGGCTCTCCAGCCTCATCGTGCAGGACATCTTTCTGTAGATTTCCCAACACAGACACTACCAAAACAGCAGGGATCACAAAGACAAACAAAATATCTTCATTAAATAAAAAACACCAAAGCCTAATAAAACCAATAGACCCTCTGCAACAGTCCTTAGGTAACAATACTTTCTTCTATTAGGCAATAATGCCTTAAGCATTTGGCCCAATTACCACAATCTCAGGAACTGTTTTTTCATTGGGCAATAATTTGCTGCGCTTTTTCCAGGTCAAACAATATTTCTAGGGTTCTGATCCTGCAACTGGATCCACTAGCATGTACCCCTGCACATATATCGGTGCAGAGATCCTCTTAGCAGTGGATCTAATTGCAGAACCAGGACTTGCATTTGTCTATATATATACGCTACATTCAAAATATACACTATACATGCATGTTAATATAGCTGCATATTATAAAATATATTTTAGTGGGCATAGAATACAAGCATGTATATTATTGTTGTATGATCATTGGAGCATGGACCATCCCTACCTCTATTTTTGTACAGCTCCCTGCACAAAAGGGCTATGATCCTCTTCCTGGCCTCAGGACCACTGCCATAGTATAATTATCTCCATTATTGTACATACACAATAGCTAGGATTTTCATATTTTGTAGACCCACACGCACAGAGCATGTTATAAATTTATAATAATTTTTGGAATTTTTGTGTTGTTTTAAACATCTGACTTTATGACATTTCATTAAGTTAGATTCAATTTATTCTATACATAAAATAGTTTATGAAATGCTACATCAGTATCAGTTGCTCTTTATTAAGAAACACTTTCAAAAAAAGTATTACCAATTTAACCTAATTATTGGTGACGAAAGTCATTTAATTTCAAAATATCCTATTAACTAAAACCCATACACAGAAATTATTGGCTGCTTGCACCAATCCCCATTACAAAAACCTGCAAAATCCCTTTGCAAAAAGGGAAGACTACAGCTTAAACCTTAAGTACTTTGATAAAAATATAAGATCAGTTTCATCCCAAAGTACAAATCCCAATCGCCATCTAAAACTGACCCTAAAATATATTCGGAGCTTGTTCTAATCACAGGAGATGTATTCTGAATAGGACAGCCCTCTCATCTACTAAGTCTCTCTAAGTCATCGTTTTCACTGTATCTGAAAAATTAATTCCTTTTCAGAAATATTCTCATCTTCTACTAAAAGAAAAAAAAAAGCTTTTTGATGTAGAGTGACAGGATTATGAAGTGACCCTTCAGGTCACAAGGAGACTTTTCCTTTTCTCATCAAGGAAATCAATTTCTAAGTCCAAGTCTCTTAAAATAATATATTCTTGTGGCACGCATACAGCTTTTTTTGATCTGCTACGAAAAGAATAAGAGGTAAAGAGGATCAGGGGTGGTGATGGAATATTATAATCTGCCACACTCACACATCAGCCTTTCACTAAGTAATTCCAGATAAATTGAGGATTTACATATTTAAGATTAAATGGTGAAAGAGTAGTGATGCATAAATAGAGGAATACAAAGATACCAATTGGGGAAGTTAACTCTTAAAAACTTAAAGTCCCTTGATGTTTATTACCCTTCCCTGTCCCACTCCATCTAGTTTAAAAGTGTGTAATGTTTATTAGGAAATAACCAGGATGATCTCTTTTAGATCAATTGAGCACAAACACAGATGCCTCAGGGTTTCTCTCCCCCACCCCTCCCACCTCCGCTACTCAAAAATACCAATTACCATGACAAGAAACAGTTAAATGCCTCCAAAGACACATACATGCAGCAGATGGAAAACAGGAGGAAACCAGCTGGAAGTGTGTTTCCCTTAGAACTGTTTTTAACAGCCTGTGCACAAATAATGTCTCACTAATACAGAGATAAAAATAAAACATAAATATTTAAAAGGTGACTGGTCAAAGCAACAAGATGGCATTCGATACAGGATCTTCTCTAGTTCTATTATTCTCAGAGTCCATGCTAGAGCTTCAAATCCTGAACTGGGATAGTAACTTTAACCTGGAAGCTGCAGTAACTATTGAAACCTTTTGGTACAGTTAATGAGCTGCGTGAACACTAGTTATGGGTTGAATTAAAATCTCATTGAGATTGGGTGTGAATGCCCCCTTCAATTAACATAGCTGGCAGGAAAAATTAATCACAACCTCTCACGTAAGACAAAAGAGGTTGTGAACCCATCCAGGAGTTCTGGACTGAGTTATTGTTTAGGTGGGAGGGCAAGACAGAATACACAGAAACAGAGAGAGACTCCAGGGCAGAGCAAAAAAGCCACACAGACCTCCTGAATGAGACACTGAAAGAGGTGTATGGCCTTGGAGAAAAACCTGGGGAGTGACTTTAGGGACCAGAGGTGCTGGCTGAAAAGAACAGAGGTGCTCCTGTGAGCAAAAGGAGCTGTTTCCTGCAGTTCAATTCCTTCTGCATTCAGAGGCACAAGACTTAATACGTTCCTTGTAAATAGACAAAACTGCATCAAAGAAAGTGCATCCGATGAAGTGAGCTGTAGCTCACGAAAGCTTACGCTCAAATAAATTTGTTAGTCTCTAAGGTGCCACAAGTACTCCTTTTTTTTTTTTTTTGTGAATACAGACTAACACGGCTGCTACTCGGAAAGAAATACCTGACTGTCACCAATTTTTCCTCCTAACTGGAACAACCTACCAGACCCCGAATGTTTGGCTAGTTGCTCAGGTCAAAAGGGGTAACAGCACTGTTATTTGTGAGGCTTGCGGCTTGCTTTGTTTTGTATTGCACACCTGTGAAGCCGCTGCTTTGATACTCAACTTCCTGTGCTCACCCCTTCCTGACCCCATCTCCCAATTTTTTGTCACACTGCCGTTCTCCAGAAGCTGTTGTTCATGCCAGTGCCAGGCATGGAGGTCAAGATTTTCAGAAATGACAAGTGACTTTGTGCTCCCAAAGGGGCCAATTTTCAGAAAATGCTGAGCACCTCCCCCCCTCTGAAAATCAGGCCCTTTTAAGATGTCCCAAGTTGGGGGCCCCAAAATCAATACTTACCTTTGAAAGTCTTGGCCTGATTCAAAGTCTCTCCAGGCTCCTCTGTTTCTCCTGAGTCTATGACATTAGGAAAAATGGAGTTAGTCAAATGAGGAGCATCAGGAGTGCCCATCCCCCATTATTGTAGGGCAGTGTTGTTATAGCCATGTCAGTCCCAGGATATTAGAGAGACAAAGTGGATGAGGTAATATATTTTATTGGACCTCTGTGTAAACTCAAAAGCTTGTCTCTCTCACCAACAGAAGTTGGTCCAATAAAAGATATTACCTCACCCATCTTGTCTCTCTAACATGCCCCATTAAAGCTGGAGTAATGCAGAAGAGGGGAGAAGAAATCACAGAGCTACAGTATTTAGAAAGTCAGGGAGGCTCACAGCATTGCAGGATAAGGTTGTGGCGGAGACAGTTCAGAGGGTGTCTTTGACTGGGAGTAGGATAATGCAGGGGGATTCTGGTACTGCAATAACCATTGCAGGGGAGAGTGGAGATGGGAAGCTAACAGTTCTTCACCAGGCTCACCAAAGACAGAACAATCTTGTAATATTTCCTGTTTTCTATATCTTCAGCCTTTGCTATTCTCATAAGATTTATTCCCATGAGATCTGTTCTCAGAATGTTTCCAGAACAAAGAGGGTCAGATAAAAATTGGATAAACATCTAAGTCTCAGATGGGTCTTGATCTGAATGACTGACATTTGACCATCCTGGCCGGTACGATCTTTAGGAGCTCAATCCAGCAGCCCTTATTTGAACAAAACTCCTAGGATTTCAAATTGTCAAAAAATATTCCAATGCAAATCTTGCGGATTTGGCCCTGTTAAAAGGTTCTGAATGTAACCTTGATGATGCAGGTTAAAACATGAGGATGTTAGTTTAGTTATTTTTTTAGAAACATATTTTCATGCGCCTTTAGAACCTATGGAAGTCATTGAACTGACAGTCCGGACAAGTAAAGCTCTCTATTTAGTCAGAGAGCAGTTGTAACATGGGGAGTAGCAGCGAAAGTACTGGGGGATGGAGGCTATGGAACTGGTGGTTTTGTGGCAGAGGGGGAGAGAATATTTTTTACCCAGGTAGCATCAAATGTATTGGCAACGGAACACTTTTGAAGGATTCCTGTGTTCAAATGTTGGCAGCAGATCGCTTGGCTTTGCCACAACATTTAAAAGGTTTTTTTTATGTCTATAATTTTCTTGTTAAAAAAACAGAAGAAAATGAAAGAGCCGTTTCCTCTGATGTTTCTTTACCTCCATGAATGAGTTGTGACTTTTTTTCTGTTTTTATTTTTGTACTGCAGTGTTTATTCCTACCACCTTCCAACACATATTATTTTAGAGATTTGATACCATCTAGTGTTATTGCTGGCTTTTCACGTCTTACACTTATCAAACAACTACAGTCAGCGACATGTCAAAGTTCATCTAGGCATCACGTCAATAGTGAAACAAAACCTGTACCCCCCCACGCCCGTTATCTTTATCTACACACCCCACAGCTGGGTGGTGAAATTCATAGCTGATCCAAAGGGTTATCTTCTTTTACTCTCCGGAGGCTCAGTCTATTCCCCAGTATACCTGTCATTATCACCTACTGTGTTTCCAGCCTGATTTATTTCAGCCACTGTACCAACTGGTTTGATATTACTAATAACAACCTAGCATCCTATTCTAGCTGGTGTTTATGAACAGCCTGGGTAAAATCCTGGCCCCACTGAAGTCAAAGACAAAACGCCCATTGACATGGAACTAATATTTCACTCCACGTTTCTGTTCACTGGATCAGAAGATAGTTCTCTTTCCAATCAACAGGAATCAGTGCAAATCCTTTTTAGATATCAGTAGTTGCTTGAAAAATTGAGTTTTCCAGAAGGATATTTTTATGTGTTTTCCACACAAAGACTAAAAGAACAAGAAAGAGCCAATCACCATGAGAGAACACAGTCTGTTTGTCTCTTTGGACAGTCTGAACTGAGCTCAAAATACCAAAATGTTTGCTCAGCTATGCACAATGGAAGACTGCTTAGTAATTTAAAGGGGCAGTACACTGAAAATAAAGCACAGCCCAATGTCATAGCTAGATACAGCACATTCATGCATTGTTTCTTAAAACGTATTTAGTGCTCATGAAAGCCAGTGAATTAGCAGCTCTGGAAAGTCATGTCCTCTGTTCAGCCACAGAACAAGTACAGCATCATCAGTGGCTCTTCTCCACAACCCCACACCAATCTGCCTCATTTATGACTTAGAGCAAATATTCCTTGGGGTTAATGAGTGATTCTGGCTCTGTGTTCACTCAGACTGTGGCCTCTCGTCTGAGGCTACCAACAAGGGTGTCAATTACGATGATAGTTTATGTGGCATGGACACCTGCCTGCTCGGAACTAGACTGGGACCACCAATGTATTTCAGTTAAGCCACTTAACGGCCATGAAATAATGACCTAGAGGTGAAGGGATTCATATCCTGTTACCAATCCCAGAACAATCTACTCCCCTGAGAGAACTTTATCCTTTGAGGATTAAGTGCTCCATTGGGGTGGGGTGGGGAAATACATCACTTAACATTTTGTGTTACATAATTAAGCACATTTTTCAGTATTTAGGTTTATTTTATCACTAATTACTTTTCAACTTGAAAAATGATGCATTTTTAATATTAAACACACTGCTTCAGTACCATTGAAGCTGAGATACAAACTACTAGGGTTCTGAAAGGCCAAATTAAGACTCAATTAAAAAAAATTTACAAGTAAAGTTGTAGGAGCTCGATTTAGAGAGGTGCGTCACACCTCCAGTACCCACTAACTATTAAGGGCAGTTGTGGGTATTCAGCATCTGGTAATGACAGTCTCCCATAGGCTTTTGTGATTGACACAAACTAGCATATTCAAACTGAAGATTATTATCTTGTTTATAATTCACATAATTAAAAATTAAAAGGTGTAAGCAAGAGGGGGAAATATATAGAGATGTGAATTTTAGAAAGAGAAATTCATTTTGACTTTCCTAGAAACAGTAGAATAAAGCCTGGAACACACTTTTCCTAGAGCCTTGGGAGGTGCATCTTAAAACTCCCTGTTTTTAATGAGAGTTGAAGATTCAGAGGATTTCAGCACTAGGTCAATCATATGAACCCAGCCCAGCTCAGCAGCTAGTGATCAAAAGTTACCGTGCAGTGGCTCTTCGTTGGCCTATATAAAGCAGTTTGGTGGCCTCAGTTTCTCAGTGGAAAGGTGTTCATCTCACTAAAACCACTGACAATGCCCTTTTAGCACTTCTGCTGAGGAGAGTAATTTCCTCTCTCATTCCTTAGAGGCACTCCCCTCCAGGTCAAGATTTAAGCATGCGAGCTGGGTGGTATAGGGGAAGTGCATTTTCCCCTGCTACTCCTGCTCTGCAGCTACAGAACTTCAGTTTGCAGAGCTATCAGTATGGATGAATGAGGCAGTGATCCATCGGGGTGCATATATATGCCTTCAGTGGAATTTGGCAAACACAAGATACTACATGTATATCCAAGGTTTTAGAAAAATTACATATTATATTTATCATTTGAGAAATAGCACTCTTGAATTAAAGACTACTTCAGGAATATGCATAAGAGAGCAAAGTTACAGTTGCTTGCACAACCTTAAATTTGTCCTTTCCTGAATTTTGAGTACTTTGCTGTGTAAATTCAATATTCTTTTTATTTGGGGTTTAGTAGGGCAGCTGCCTTTTCCTTAATCCATAATGGAGACAGCAATCTCATCCCCTAGAAGGGAAGGGAGGGAAGGAAATGCTTCAGTTTGCTCTGCAGTGACCTATATGGCCAGTCTTCAAGAAATATAGGTGGATGTAACAGTATTCACTGCAGTCAGTGGATAATGAACACTTCTGCATGACAAAGGTACGGCTTTTCATAGCTCTGACCCATGTTATGTGCCTAGGGCTAGGAAACAGAGACCAGTTGCTAAGGGTATGGCTACACTGCAATGTAAGACCAGAGTTCAAACTCATGGTCAAGCCTAACGCCTCTCCCATCTACACACAAATTGTGCTAACCCAGGGCTGAGCTACCTAACACAGGGGTGGCGGGTCTGAGCTGGAGTCAAGCTGGGACTCAGGGTTTAAGCCCTATTGCTTCGCAGTGTAAATGTAGCCGCACTGCAATTCATGCTCTGGCAGTCTGCCAAAAGTAAACCACAATCCTACAGGCTGACTTTGTTTGTCCTCTGGACAGTCAAGTTTTCTCATACTGCACCATGAATAAAGGGCTAGAACAACCACATTTCAGGAGTGTGCTAGGAAGTCTGGGATATGGTCCCAGGTTAGAAAATTGGACTGGGGTCTGCATACAACAATGTGGACGCTGGAGCCCGGGTTCGGGCCCAGGTTAGAAAATTCTTAACCAGTGTAGATGCTCAAGGCTTGGGTTCTCTAACCTAGGATCTACTGACTCAAGTTCCACTAACCCTAGGCTTACACTGCAATGTAGATATACCCTTAGTAGCATTCCTGTAAATTGCTCCTTTATTACAGTAGGCTCTGAGGGGAATATCAAGCTACCCAACTAGACCTAATTAAAGGAAACTGCAATACTGGACCTTGGGTAACTGAGTGACAAGACAGAGGGAATAGTGGGGAAAATCATCAAGAGAGGACGACACAAAGAAAAGAGATAAACTTATGAGAGACTGTAGAGAGACAGTAGGAATGGAGAAGTCGGTGGAGCAGGGTAGGAAGAGATGGCCTTTTAGTGCTTTCCTTCATTATGTATTGCTAATTTATAAATTAACCCCCTAACGTTAACCATGACCAGCTAACACATTTTAAAATGATTGTCTTTGTCCATAAGAAGGGCAACATTGCACTTAATGTGTAAACTGAAATATGCCAGTTAGATACTGTTAACACCACGCATTTTCCCAATGTGCACAAGACCATATTCTTCTGCAAAGAGTCCTGATGTCAGTTAAAAGCTTGACCAACAGATAACACTTATAGAGAAGCCTGAAACTCATATATTTCAGATTCTTGCACATTGCCATAAGGAGTAGGCTCAAGCACAGGGAAAGAAGCAATCCCGCGGGTAAACGTGTTCAACAGGTCTAGACCATTTCGAGCTTTGTAGATGAACAAACACCTTGGGCCCCTATGCAGAGGCATACAAATATGCATTAGTATTATCTGTTGCAACGAGAGCTTATAGGAGCTCTCCAAGGGTAGGCCCAAGCAAAGTACACTGTAGTGATACAGAGGTTACAAAGACATGGAAACATCAATAACAGAGAGGAACAATCACAGCCTCTGGGCCAACCGCAAATGAGAAAAGGCAATGCATGCCACTGCCCTGCTGTCACCCAGGAGCTGAATCACAGTAATGGATCCAATATGACCCCAAAACTTATTTAGTCTTCGCTTTCCATGACTGTTCATTTCCCTTCTACTCTCTCTCCCTTTTGTTCTATCTAGTCTGTTTGGTTTCAGTTTTTCAAAAAATGCCATGACTTTCGTTTTCTTTTTAAATAAAAATATCTGATTTTTTTTTTCCAAAAAAAAAGTAAAAAGTGATCTCTTTCAGCCACTTTGAAACAAAAAGCACTTCAAAATTTTCCTTTCAAACAGGTTTTCATTTTTAACCCGCTCTCGTGTGTAGGCAGCAGGAAGAGCCGTAGTGAATCCTGCCCTTTGCTCTAAAGTCAGAACCAGGATAGGGACTTGCTGAAGTTACAGGTTTTGTCAATAAAGTCCTCCTGAGTTCTGGAGCTTAAAGCCCCTCATGGGAGCAAATGACATTAGACATCACACACACACACACACACACTCAGAGCACTAACCTGGGGGCAGCTACTCCATTCACCTCCATCTCCAGTCCAATGACATCTACTGGTGTCCATCCTTTTCTCCATGCCCTCAAAACACACAAACACTTTCTTTGCCTGTAAACTAAAGAAAAGATTCAGGTATACATTGAAGATATGGCAATGGGATCCCTATACAAGATTTCCTTGACTGACTCAAATAATTCATTTGATTTATCGTTGTATTTCCCTTCTGTAGGAAAATACCTTTGCCATTTAGCTTAAGCTCCCTACAGTTTTGAATGCTTTAGAATTTTGTTAACTTTCATTTCTAGCAATTAGAGATCTTAAACTTTCTTTAGTTTTTTTGCTTATTTTACCATATTAGCAGCTGAAATCTGCATGTGCCTTTTAAATCCAGCATGTATTCTGTAGTTACTTGCACACACGACATGCAATACACACATACACTCACACACCCTATCCTCTAGTCTCTTTTTATATGGAAATTCTAAGTCATGAAGAGATGTTTACCACCAAACCAAAATATTATAAATCTATATTAAAAGCCAGTCCCCTGTGAGTGGTTTGGATTAGCAATGTGTTTTCTGAAGTGGCCTACAAACCTAGAATCCAATCCATATTCCTTGTCCTAATAATGGTCTAATGGAAAAAATGTTCACAAAATTCTTAAGGGTTTTCTGCTTTTCAATTTCTCCCCCTCAGGTGCTTTCTTCCCAGGGGACTGGCTCTTTTAAAAACAAATCTAACTGTGAGTCTTGTTTTCCCTAGAAAATCTCCAGATAAGCACAAGGTGAAATCATTTTTTTTTTCAATCCGAAGCTAGTTCTTTATATCCTTGACAGTGTTTTTCTTCTTTTAAATTAAAGAGGGAGTTTGTAAACCTCTAAAACTCTAAAGGATTGAATTGCAACTCTGTCTAGGAAAAAACATAGTTTAAGGCAAAGCTTACAACATAGGATAAGAATGTACTAGTTTCCCACGTGCAGACAGTAATGGACTTTTCAACACAAAGTAGGATCTGGTACATTAATCTGACAAGTTCATTTGCTCTGTGTCTGGGTGTGATCACCCTAACGTTAGAAAGATTTTGGGAGTGTTAATTAATACACGTCATGTGTACAGTGCTGGGGAAGGGAAAGGAAAAATGTGCCATTTTCCGTTACATACCATCACATCCAAATTTAGAGGTGACAGAGTTAAATTTCCTGGATTCTCAGAAACGGGAATCAAACATTTGTCAGGCAAATTGGATGTATTCAAAAAGCATCTGCTTTAATTTACTTTAAGTTTTATAAATGCACTCTGTGGAAGAGAGGCATCCCCAGATATTCTTAATATATGATGCTCTGTTGCACTTCTGTTAGCATAAATACTACATTTCCACAGTACCAGTGCAAATCCCCAGTGTTGCTCAGAGCTTTCTTAACATGTTTGCATAATTGTGGGGGTTTTGAGCAAAAGCTGAAGGTAAACGTCGTTCATGCCTGACCTGCTAGCCTTCACAGCTGAAATGTATTGGAAATCACTTCTGGCACTGAAAAGGTTAATTGTCTCCTGCTGTGAAGTAGAAGCTGAGAAAAGGATACCACATTTGGTGGAATTATAGTAAATGAGGTTTTCTTTATAGCACTGCTCATTCTCAACATGGTGAAAGGGCATTAGTTCACAGTCACTTTCTCTGGAATTATCAAATCTGCTCAGGAAGCCTTCATTAGGATATTAAACAAGACTTAATAAGTGAAAGTGATTTGCATTGCTGATAATCGTGTGCATTAATCAAGCAAGCTTCTGTCTCTGCCTCTGCAATATGTTTCATGTTCCATTGTAAAGCCTCTTTAATTCTGGGGGGCTTCTTAAAAGGGAAACGTTACATTTAGAAAGCCATTTTTAAAATGATTTACTTAGCAAAAATCACTATAAATAACGTTCAACTCACTCCTCAGCTTTAACCATCAAAATAATTAATAATGCGGCGTTTGAATCAGGGCTATGGACCAGATGTGTTCTCATTTATCAGGCATAGATTGCACGTATTCTAATAAATGTGTTTTATTCTGAATAACATTTGAAACCAAATAACTACATTTAGCACTTTAATCTGAAGTTACAATTTTAGGTAAAGGCATTTATAATTTTCATTGCAGGAACATTATTCTATAGACAGTGGTAACATATACAATTGTTAATGAAATGATATGGCAAATATCCCTTGCAGTTCAGTGAACTCCATGGTAAAACTAGATAAATTACTATTACATGGTGATGCTTATTATATGTGTTGCACAACAATTTCTACTTACACCAATCACCTATTATGTTGTAGTTTATATTTTGCACTTCTCAAAATCCTTCCATGCAAGGATCTCAAAGTGCATGTAAATCTGTTCATTAACACTCACAAGACTCCTGTGAGGGGGGTAAATGATGACCAGTTTATAGGTGGAGGAATGGAAACACCAAGAAGTGAAACAGGTTGTCTAAGGTAGCACAGGAATGCATTGCAGACACAAGATTAGAACCTAGAAGGCCTGACACACAATCTGCTCATGTAACCACTAGACAACACTGCACATCAGTCATTTCACTCCACTGTCAGATAACTGTACAAGAAGCAGAAAAAAGTGAACGTGTTGAAATATTCCATTCAATGAAGTAAGACACCAGGATTGGGATATTTTTAACATTAAAAAAATATTGATTTTATCATTCATGAGCAAATGATTTATTTTGGAGGTAAAAATAAAAAAATCAAAGGCAACTTTAAATCACATCTTTTCATGATAATAAGCAACTGCTGTGGAAACAGGAAAGAGGCATTAAAAAATAACAAATTTACAACATTATTCTTATTTATATTGCAGTAGCCAGTCAGGGTTGGTGCTATCCATGAAGGTATCTAGGCACCCAAGTCCATTTTTTTAGGCTCCACTATGATCCACAAAACTCCAGTTTGGCCGTCACCTAACTCTGCAGTTGCCTAAACTCACTCAGCCCCTAAGCTTTTGCCTCTGCACATGTGCGTTGCAGCTGGGCGCATATCTCCCACCTAAGCCCCGGACCGATTCGCAAACCAGGAAAGATAAGCATTTGGCCGCCTCGGTCACGTCGGGGAGTGCGATAGTGTAGGCATGCTCAGAAGCTGCCTACAGGATCAAGCCCCTCGACTACGTTCTCACAAAATAGTATGGGGAGGAAGGGGAGAAGGATATCCCTTATAACCTTGAGCCTCAAGGCTAGGGTACTCACCCAGTACATGGGAGATGCCTGGATCAATTCCCTGCTCCTCCTGAAAGGGAGATGAACAGAGATCTGCTGCCATTTGGGTGGCTGCTCTAACCACTAAACTATGCAGTCATTCCAATTCTTTCACTGACCCAAATAATATTTAATTATTTAATTAAAATGGAACAACTTCAATAGGAGAGATTGAGGGAGTGCCACATCAGACTAGTCCACAGCCTAGTGGTTAGAGCCACTCACGTGATAGGTGACAGATCCCTGTTCACATCCCTTCTCCCATTTGAGGGGTAGGGAGGACATGAACTGAGGGTCTCCCACATCCCAAGTGAGTACCCTATCTATCTGGTTCTAAGAGAAATCCTTCTCTGCTCTACCCCCCAGTCATTTGATTTTGAACCCTGCATGTGACGTAGGCATCTGGCCACCTATCTTCCCCATTTGTGGGTCACAAAGCAGAGCTAGGCACCTTCCTGCAGCTAGGTTCTTAGCTCCATGACAGGGGCAGGGCTTAGCACACACTGTGTAGTACTGGGACAGGTGGGTCTAGGCCCTCCCCCTCAGGCATGGGGGAGCAGGCATTGCACCCACACTGTGAGGACTGGGGACAACAAATGAAAAACCAGGAACGGGAGTGAAAGTTAAAGGTTAAAAATCAGGGCTCCAGAGGGCAACACTGAATGGAGAACCCATGACAGTTCCCACTGCTCCTCAAAGATCTCTAAGGAGTTAGTGGAAACTACGCAGAGGATCTCTGCCCAGATGCATGATCGGATGAGAGACCAAAAATAGGTCCCAAAGCCACAGAGCACCCACTCCGTCCAGCTTCCTACTCCTGGTATGACAGATGGCCAGTTTGGCCAGTGCCAGGAGGAGGCTGATGAGGGGCTCTCCCAACTTTGTGGGGCCACAGATGGGGTGTGCATGAATTTGGAGGTGCAGGGGAAAGTGCAGCCAGAACGACAGTAAGAGATCCTGAAGGAGCCAGAAGAGGGGCTGCAACCTGACACACTCTACACGGAGACCCTGAACCACATCTATTTTGGCACAGAAGAGACAGGTGTTGGGGGAATTCGTGAACCATGCCAGGTACACATCTGTGCTCACAGCTCCATGGAGGAGCCACCAACTAACATCCCCAGCAGGCTGTGGAACCAGAATGGAATACAGACTGGCTCACCTGGGTTCCTTGCCCGCTGCAGGTCCTCCCACTTAGTGTCAGAGTGGGATACAAGGGCGAGGAAGTGGCTGGCATGAAGCAAGAGTCTGTACAAATGTTCTCTAGGAGTGGTATAGAGGCGGACCAGCTTGGTGTCATTCAGCCAACTCAAGTGGCATGTTGGGAGCAGCCAGGAAGACTAGTAAGGCCTGATGATGAATTCCAGAGGGTCAGGGGTGAGCTGGGAGCACCCTCCCATATGACCCACTTGAGAAAAGCAAGAGAACCAGGCGGCAAGGATGCCCTCACCTCTTGGAGCTCCATGACGAGCGATGCTGCCTACTGTGCTGGCTTTGTGGATCTCAGCCTAAGGCACCTATCTCTCCCCATTCATTGTATAGGAGCATAGGCACCTAACTCAGGATTTGCAGATCACAGGGTTGTTCCTGTGATTTTCTAGGTGCCTCAAAACTCAGTGTGGCAATGCCTAAGTCTCTTCATGGATCTGGGCCATTGTACTATGCACTGTAAACACACTACACTGGCCCCAAAGGCCTGACAACTGAAAAAGAAATAGGAAATAATCCCAAACAAAGAAGGAATGGAAGGGATACAACAGACAAACAAAAGTCTTATTGGCTGACTCGCGTGGCTGGGTCCTTCCACACTCGCAGAGCCCTACTGAAGTTAATACAGTTGCAAGGATCACAGGCACAAACAACCAG